CATGGTTCGGACGGCTGAATATGCACGTCCCTTACCTTACATGTTTCGGACAGTTGAACATGCACGTCCCTTACCTTACAAGTTTCGGACAGCTGAACATGCACGTTCCTTACCTTACATGGTTCGGACGGCTGAATATGCACGTCCCTTACCTTACATGTTTCGGACAGCTGAACATGCACGTTCCTTACCTTACATGGTTCGGACGGCTGAATATGCACGTCCCTTACCTTACATGTTTCGGACAGCTGAACATGCACGTCCCTTACCTTACATGTTTCGGACGGCTGAACATGCACATTCCTTACTTACATGTTTCAGACAGCTGAACATGCACGTCCCTTACCTTACATGTTTCGGACGGCTGAACATGCACGTCCCTTACCTTACATGTTTCGGACAGCTGAACATGCACGTCCCTTACCTTACATGTTTCGGACGGCTGAACATGCACGTCCCTCATCAGAGGTAAAAAATTCAAATTACATTTCTAGAATTTCATTTGTCAAGCTGAAAGAGATGAATAGAAAAAGCCAGTTTTTAAAGTACGTTTTATAAAATATTATTTTTATCTGAATCTAATGTCTGCCAACAAATCTCAGAGACAGCAATGTTTGTTAAAGTTGCACCAATATTCACTATACTGTCCAGGTATTTTAAACCAGTCAATTTTAATTATTTCATACAAAACTGGAGAATATTCACTATACCATCCAGGTATTTTAAACCAGTCGATTTAACTATTTCATACAAAACTGGAGAATATTTCTTAATGATAGTTTTTTTTATATATATATAGCATACTTACTTTAAATTTAATGACTTTTCGTTTGTTTAAGAAAGATGATGACGAACCTTAATCTTTAAGCCAACCAGTTCCTAATAGTAATCGCATTTCAGCAGCAACCACGTTATGTATACCCATCAGTTTAACTCAATAAATATATTATATTGTTTCAAAGTCAGAAGTTTCATAAAAAAAAAAAATAGGCTAACAATGTGTTATAATTGTGATCGTTATTTGACTAATGTAATATGCAGGAGTTTTAATTTAGGAAAAGGTACAAAATAATAACAAGATGAAAGGTTACTTTAGTTGTTATTCATTGTAAAGTCCAGATAGGAGTAGAGTAGTACTTCAAGACGACGATGACGACATAAAATCTTTGTAAAATTATAAGTACAAATATATATATTTTTTTTAGAAAATCATAGTTTTTTTGTGTTTTGGTTGTGTAGTGAAACGCATATGAGATCGTTATATTAATCTTTTTAATATATATACTGTTGCGTCATCGAGATCATGTGATTCTCACGCTCTCTACTATCTAGAATTATCCTGTACTTTGGCGAATGTTCTAGTTCTTACTAGATATAGGGTAGGCGGGTATATATAAGAGGGGACAACGTGACGCGGTAATGTAATGTGTGTGTAGATAGTGAGTAATTGATATGCGGTCAGAAGTATTATTGACGTTCGTGGTTATAGCGTTTGTTTAGCGCGATTGTTGAAGTTGAGTGTATCGGTAAAGTTGTATTCGGAAAGAATAAACCAGTTTTATTAAGTAAAGAACTTGTGTCGCTAAAGTTTCGTCGGAACGAAGTTACGGAAAATTAATTAACAAACGGAGACGTAACAATATATATATACATATACACGTGTTTTTTTTTCATATTCTTGGGTGAAAAGGTGTCATGTTTTAACACGATCAATGATTAAAAGAAAATTAATAACCACCGGAATGTAATGAAATCGTTTCTATACGATTGAGTTGAAATATTCCAAGATTTGAGTCCTTTGCTTGTGAAAAAAAATGTTTGAAATTGTTTCTTGTTCTTAGAATACATCTCTCGCACATAGCTCTTAATTTATTCTTGATCCTAAGTTTTATGTTTTATCTTGAGAGAGATACTCTTTAGTTATCAGAAACGTATTACAGAAATTATTTTTACTAACAGAAACGTCGCTGTAGGGCGGCGGTTTGTGCTAGTAATTACTAATGGTAGTATTCATAACTCATTCAAAAAAGGTGAACATTTTCTAAAAATGGATTTTTCTAGGAAGTACTGTACGGTGAAAGTGACCGGATTGTGCTGGAATAAACTGTGATGTTTTTATATATTAAAAGTAGTAGCATTTATTAACAAAATAAGTTTTTTAAAAACTCCACTTTTTAGCACTATATTTACAAATTACGTCAATAAAGATATAATCAAACCCTCACGTACAGTCATAGTGAAGGTCGCGTTCTTGTTGTGAGGAGAGTATTCTTATTTAAAATTGTATTTTGTTCTAAAGAAATAGTTGCTGCACATACCGTAGTTATTTTTATAATTGTTTGAATCTTGAATATCCAAAGTGTTCATTATTTTATGGATTTTTTGTGATGCCATTCAATAGATGGCGCCACATTGTGATTAATATTTCAGTCACATATATAGATTGATACATATACACACGATACGGCCATTATAGTAAGATTGTGTGTGTGTGTGATAAAAACAAAACGATAAAAAAAGGGTGATGCAAATATTAACACAATGTTAATTAAAAACAGAAGGCCATTAGTCACTTCAAACGTACAGGATGTATATACAATGGCAAACGTTTTAAAACATAATAACTTTAAAACCAGATAGGACTGACATACAGTAAAATATGTGTTTGTCCGTGTGTCTTCAGGATTTATCCGATCTCCACATGACTTCTGTTGACCCTCTTGCAGGTTTGTATGCTACTTGTAATCATGCTGATAAGGATATATTCTGGAATTAACTCAAAGGTATACAATCATCGTGATAGCAAATACAGCTGGATGTGGGGCAAAAACCATGTGTCCTAAGAGCCAAAAGTCCAGCAGAGATAGGTCCGGACAGTGCGTAATCCGAGGTAATGATTTCAGATCACAGAATGTAATGCCCTTGAAAGAAAGGTGCTGAGAACACTATTAGTTTCCAACTGTGGGAGGAAAGTGTCCCTCAGCATATCCTCTTACGAGCCAAGTAGGTGACCGAGTTCTCATCAATCACTGGTTTTCGGCAGATCTTGCTACTGAGGGTGTGTGGGTTCTAATATCTTAACTTTGACAGCTATGTCTGCTCATTCTTTCATGCAGACTGAATGTTGCCTCAGATATAATAATGTAATTGATGAACATTTTGTTCCAAACTATCCAACTGAATTCCCTCGTACTCAGCATGAATCTAGTTCTTTTAGTTCTATTCGAGTAGTTGCTGCATCATCTAAGTTTTTGAAGAATTACCTTTTAGGTTTGTTTTCAAAACCTGAAACACTGTGACTGTCAAGTTGCTTTTCGCAGACCTTTCTAGGATGTATTGAGGCAACTGTTTCAACTTACCCTGAACCATCCACTGTTCTTCTTAAGACACTGTGTCCTTGAACTTGTTACACCACTGCTTATTTGTATTGCTCAATGATGACTGTGAATTATACTTAATTGAGTTGGCATTCAATTAAACAGTTGATTGAGTTGTTTGATTCGGATATTTGTGCAAAGCTATATAAAGATTATCTGTGCTAGCTGTCCTTAATTTTGACATGATAGACTAGAGGAAAGGCAACAGGATCCACCTCAAACTCTTGGGATGCTGTAATTGAATAGTGTGATTTGACTGCCCCTCTTATAATGCACTCACAGCCACAAAGTGGGGATCATAATTTTTCAGTAACAGGAGCTAAATCAAGAACCCTCAGATTCGTGGTCTGGCACACTAACCACTAGTTCTGTGTCTCAGGCTAACAAAGCATGAGATGTCAGGATCAAATAAAATGTGTACTCCATCATATCTTTGTTGAAAATATGTAGAATCATTCGTAGGCAACTGTAAACATTTTAGAAAATAAGTGAGAAACTTAGTCAGTTTTAGCAGAATTTCTTTACATGTTGTTTGCTAAAAATCTCATGCCTCAAAGATGATTTGGAGGAGTGTTTGATAGAAACTCAAACAGCTGCAATTACCCACAATGAAATCAGGGTCAAAGATCAATGTAAATAAGTAAACTTCTTTAAAAACAAACTTGAATTTAGTGAAAAAAAAATTAAACAAAGTTGAAAATACTGGAAAAGATTTATAAGAGATAGATACCTTGCTTAAACTCATGTCTATTATTTACAGATTTCTATATCTTGTCAGTTTTTATATTAACGTGACTATAAATGACCTTACTACCACAGTCATCAGCTTTAATTTCCTTTTGTTAAAACTGTTGTTAAGTTGTTTGTTAAATTTTTTTGCAAAGATACACGAGGGCTATCTGGAGTAGCCATCCCTAATTGTGAACTAAAACACCTAAGGGAAGGTAGCTAGTCAAAACCACCCACTACCAATTTTCAGACTTCTCTTTTACCAACGAAAAGTGGAATTGACTTTCACATTATAAGTTCCCCACAGCTGAAAGGTCTAGCACATTTTGCAAAAGGTTTCCATTCAGCAACCCACAGATTGTGAGTCGAAGGCCGTGTCAGGCCCTATTTTTTTAAATAATTGCTTGAAATAAAAACAAATAACCGAAGGAAGGTACTTTTCACAGTTCTGTTATATAAGTTATCTAGTTGTTTGAAATAAAGATTGCTAAAGGTAGTAGCTGATGAAATAAGCTAAACTGCCGAGTTCACATTAACTATTATATAGTTGCCATACTGGACCTGTTTGTGCTATATTACCATGACTAATGTATTTCCCTTAATTAAAAAACAAAAAAACCAATTTTTTAAATAAAATCATTTAATGATACAATATTCAATGAGAAGTATAAATAATGAAACACGAAATTTAATGAAAAAAGGATATTTAAATAAATCTTTAAAAATACGTCTTAATGAACTTAGTAACAAACTTGACCCATAGAGGGATCTGTCTATCAGGCTTCTTGAAGGTCTGCTGGTCAACCAAAGAGGTACGTTCATAAAGATTTTGTTGTTCCTGTCAACCAATCAAAAAAGTAGATATCAAGACTACAGAAAAGAACAGGTTCTCCAACACAAACTTAGCTTCACTTCTTATTACTTTCACATAAATAATTAAAACACTAATTAATAATATGCAAAAAGAGTTTAGATTGTTAAGCTGTGGAATCTACAAAAATTATTGAAACAATAATTTTATTACATAGTTTAGGTTAGCTGTGTATAGCCCTAATTTAGAATTGACAGTCTAGAGGGAAGGCAGATGACCAACAGGATCTACCTCCAATTCTTGGGCTATTCTAATTAAAGAGTAGGATCTGACCATTACTCTTATAATGCACATACGACTCCAAAGTGTGAAGTGTGGTTTTGTGGGAATATGATGTAAACCATATACTTGAAATCATAGCCTGGCATATTAACCATGCTTGACCACCCATTGTGTGGAAATTAGGTGTTTTGTTCGTGAAATATGGAGCCAAAAATTTAAATTAATCATTATTTTATGTTTAATATATATATACATTTATGTTTAATTATTCTTTTTAAACATCAAAATGAAACACAAACATAAGCATTAGAACAGATGAATTATGGCTACAGAAACTGATGATCTATATAGTTTCACACAAATGTCGTTTTCAAAAAACAAAATTAACCTCTTGCATAATATTTCACTATCAATAGTTGTACTAACAAGAAACTTTAACTTGCACTTAATTATAAACTTATTAATTAATACATATTTGATACAGATATATACATATGTAGGTTACATAACTAGTTTTTATACTAAGTTTTTGGCTGCTACTCGGCTGCCATCTTCAGAGAAGTTTTGAGGACTGTTTCAGTGTTGGTAACGGCCAGGAATTCGGTCTAGTGCATTTCCTACATATCGTTTGATCTTAAAGGGGATGGGCTAATTGTGTACTAGAGCCAGGATCAACTCCTGGTCACTACCAACACATAAATAGTCCACTAGCTGAAACATTGTATAAAACTAATTACTACTTTGTTACTAATTAATAATTAGATTATCTTATAGGCTACTAATCATTATAACGATATCAATTACATTTTCTGAATCAACTTTAAGTAGACAACAACAACAAACAATAATTTTTGACTGGATCATTCTATAAAATCTTACTTCATGGAGTTGTTTCCTCAGGTTTTCATTACTTGTGATAATAGCTACTTGTGCTTCGAGGTCTCTATACACTGATCGGTATCCTGCACAAACACAAAAAAAAACAACACATACATGCTCGTTGGAACTTGACTATAACTTCTCCTTTAACGATCATTATAAATATGTTGAATGAAAAAAAACAAACTTTAAAACAAAAATTGAATCAACATAAGAATTATTTCTGACAGAAAACACATGTTGAGATTACACTGACTTACGGAGCACAGTAAGATATTAGTTCACAAAAAAATAGAGTTGTTAAAACATTTTAATAGGAAATCTACTGACTATCAAAATGTAGAATGTTCTTATAATTTTCTGTTTCAATCTAGAATCACTTGATGTGGGTAATTAACATGGAGAATGTTACAAGTGTCTAGTTTTTGTATCTTCAGCCACAACTCTGAATATGTGATTTGAAACTATAGAAGTTTCTGTTAAATTTTATCAGTCAAACTTAAAATAAAAATTCTATAACAACAGACTAAAAAAAAACCTATTTTAAATGTAAGTTACATATAAGAACGAAAAGCTTCTGTTAACAAGGTTTGTGGAAAAAAATTGTTGTTCCTTCATCTATAATTTTATCTATCAAATCAAGAATGTGATCTCTAGTCCACTTAACATGTAACTGTATGACCAGAAACTGACTGCCTACCAAAGTTTGGAGAACCAATCAATGTGACTGAAGGTAAAGTTTCGCCAGGGTAGTACACCCACAGACCTTTCACATGAAAGGTCCAATTTTCTTGATCGTATTCATGAAGCCTTATTCTTCTCTCTTGATGTTCATCACATACACGTTCATAAAATTTCTTAGCAATGTGTGTATATGCATCGGGAATAGCTCCAGATATTCCTTTAGCTCCGTAGAATCCATTAACCTGTAGATCATCAATAAAAGAAGAAATTCTAAGTGTTGACTGCAATCAAACATTTTCTCACACAAATAACCTTTTTACTACTTTGCTATTTAAGAATATTATGGCTATATTTATTAGGATGATTCTATAAATCAATCAGATTCAGTGTACTAAAACATCAAGCTGATGAACATATTAATTGTTCCACTACATTATTCTATTTATGTTAGTTGTATGCTTTCAACCAAGATGAATCAATTAACTTAACCAGGAATTGTAGCTGTGGATTATGGAACATAACAAGGAATCCTAGTCATGGGTTGTGTAACATCACTAGGAATCCTAGTCCTGGGTTATGTAACATCACTAGGAATCCTAGTCATGGGTTATGTAACATCACTAGGAATCCTAGTCATGAGTTATGTAACATAACAATGAATCCAAGTCATGGGTTATGTAACATCACTAGGAATCCAAGTCATGGGTTATGTAACATAACTACGAATCCTAGTCATGGGTTATGTAACATAACTACGAATCCAAGTCATGGGTTATGTAACATCACTAGGAATCCAAGTCATGGGTTATGTAACATCACTAGGAA